AAAATGTTCTCCTCCAATCAACCCATCCCCACCACCAAATCTGCAAAATCAGAATAGGGCTTATTTTCTTTTTTAAATAGAGTCCATACTGGGGCGCCTGGGTGGCTCAGTCATTAAGCGTCTGCCTTCGGCTCAGGTCATGATCCCAGGGTTCTGGGATCGAGTCCCACACCGGGCTCCCTGCTCTGCGGGGAGCCTGCTTCTCCCTCTGCCCACTCCCCCTGCTTGTGTTCCCTCTCTGGCTGTCTTTCTCTCTGTCAAATAAATAAATAAATCTTAAAAAAAAAAAAAGTTTATGGGCGCCTGGGTGGCTCAGTTGGTTAAGCGACTGCTTTCGGCTCAGGTCATGATCCTGGAGTCCCTGGATCGAGTCCCGCATCGGGCTCCCTGCTCTGCAGGGAGTCTGCTTCTCCCTCTGACCCTCCCCCCTCTCATGTGCTCTCTCTCATTCTCTCTCTCTCAAATAAATAAATAAAAAATCTTTAAAAAAAAAAAAAGTTTAAATAGAGTCCATACAGGTAAAACAATTTAAAGCATGTTGAGCTTGCCAGGCTGGAGCTGAGGTGCTGTCAAGAAATAAGGGAGAATGTTCTCCTGCATGAAAAAAATCTCAAGAAAAGCATCTAATGATATCAAAGCTGATGCAGAAATGACTGTAAATAGAACTAAGTCTTTGGGAAAATATGCTTAAATTGGTTAGAATAAGTTTAGAAGCTGACACCCGCTAGGAGATCTGGCTTGAGAAAAATCTAGGTTACTTATTTGGGCCAATCTACATACGTTTTGTAAAAGATACATACACGTAAGTATTTTTAAAAAGCAGATCAAGGTTTCTAAAAAACTTGCTGTCCATAGATGAAACTGCTCTCGCCTACCCTCCAAGCTTGGAATACCAATACCCTGAGGATTCACATTTCCTTTCTACCCATTTCAAGACAGTATCATTCTCAAGCCCTTGTTTACCAAAGACATGATTTTCACCCCTCGACTGAAGTATATACGTAATCTTTACCTACTTATTTTTAGGACAACCACAAGTATTTACTGGTGTGGCCCTGAGTCACCAGCTTTGATGTGAGTGAAACACAAGTGACCTAGGCCCAGAAGCATAAAAGAGTAGCCCACCCAGGGATCTGAACTGTTCAAAGGAACACGTACAATTAACACACACTCCTGTCTAAAGTTACCAATGCTCTTTATTCTGAGATTACATGCCTCCTAATTTTATTTAGCATTAAAACGCACCTTCCCTTTATGATAGGGCGGTCACAGCAAGGTAGTGTTTTTTAAATTTTTAAATTAAACATTCTTACTGGATCAAATGACTGCCCAGGACAATCGGTCCCAACTTTACTGATACGAATCTTATGTCTCCGTGAAATTTCAAAGTTTGGAAACAACTGGAACAGTGCTTCTCAACGAGGGGGCCATTTTGCCCCCTCATCCTGAGGGGCCGTGCTTGGATACATTTTTGGTCATCACACACAGAAAAAAGGGGATGCTACTGGGATCTAATGGCTGGAGGCCAGGGATGCTGCTCAACACCCTACAATGCACAGGACAGCCCCAAATGTCAACAGTGCCCACCCAGGTTGAGAAACCCTGGAGTAGACTAGTTGATCTCCCTGTCAACCCTTAAGTCAACGAACAGGTTATTTGTCGGGCACTTACTATGTGCCAAGCATTGCGCCAGTGCTAGGGACAAAATGGAAGTCAAGCAAGGTAGACAGGCAGTCTGGTCCTCTTTGGTTCACCATCCCACGTTTCCGAGGCCCTGCCAGGCGCTAGAAAGCCCCCTCCCAAGGTGGGGTGGGGGAGGGGAAGGCAGGTCTTCACCTTGCACATCGGGCAGGATCAAGAACCCCGGAGTCCCAACTCCCTGACGATCCCACCATCCAGGCCTCTTACCTGGGCTTGCCCTGACCCGCAGACGCAGCTGTTGTGGTCCCCGAGCCCGTGTGCCCCCGGGCCTCAGTTTCCCCAACCGGCCAGAGGGTCGCTGCACGGTCCAACTTGCTCAGGGAACACAAACGCACTCAGCAACCTGCAAAGCCAGCCCTTTCGCCTCCCTGGGCCTCAGTCTCCCCTCCGGGCCATACCGACCCGTCACCGCAGAGAGCCCTGCAAGGACGAACTGACGCAAAAGCGCCGGGGAAAAAATGGTCGCGGCCGCAACAATAACGTCAAGGAGGGCGCCCTTCGGGTCGCAAGGCCCTGGCTCCGACCGTAACGGCCGCACCGACCGAACGCCGGCCGAAGAGGAGCGGGCCGGGGGCCGAGAGGCCCGTCCGCCCCCAAATGCCGCCTCGGCCTGCGCAGGCCGCGCGCCGCGCCCCCCCTTCCTCTCGGCGCGGGCCCGAACCGACCTGCGGCCGCTCCCCTGGCGCCAGGCGCCGCGCACTCCAGCTCCTCCAGCATCGCCCCGGCGGCGGCTCGAGCTCCCCTCAGACGGCGGAGGCGCGGGCTCTGCTCAGGCGGCCCCTGCCGCTCGCCCTCCCGCCCGCGCCGCTGCTGCCGCGGCCGCCGAGCTCGTATTTGGCGGGAACCGCGGCGACCCCCGCAGCCCGCGCGGTGATTGGGCGAGGCTGCGTCACGTGACAACCCGCCTCGGGAAGAAGGGAGGCCGGGAGCATCCTCGCGAGAACCGAGGCTTCCATTCCTCCCATGGCTCCCCTATTGGTATTCCCGCGGAGCACCGGGGCTTCCGCTCGGCCGCTGGTCATTGGCAGGGAGGAGGTGCCCTGCGATTGGAGGCAGACGATGTCAAGCTGAGAGTTCAGCACTATGATTGGCTGAGTGCGTGGGATAGGCCTGCAGGAGGAGGGAGGGCCAGGCTCTTACGTCATGACGAAACGCTTTACGTAGGGTGACGAGTGACAACCTGAAACTGCGGTTTAGAGCAAGAACAAAGTTTTTAGTTTATGCTAATTGGGCCTCGGCTGAATATTATAAGTATTAAAATTATAAATGTCTTTTTATGTGAACAACAAGGAGAAAATAAGTTAAATTCTGTGCAGCGCTTTAGAAGCATTTAATATGCACTAAATACATTCAGAGGGAATGAATGAAATGGATCTTTCTGGTTTAATCCTCAGGATTTTTGCACACGCTGTTTCCTCACCCAGAAAACTCTCCGCAGCTTTCTTCCTGGCTAGTTTCTATCTAACTTTCAGATCTTAGATCTGCACCTCAGAGGCGCCTTTCCTTCCCTATCCCCAACAGGGTGAAATTCCTACAACTCAGTTCTTTTCCCCTTTTTTTCTTTTTTTCCTCCTCCCCCGCCCTTTTTTCTTCGCAGTTCTTTTTCTTGAAGCAATTACAGCTTTTTTTTTTAATTAACGTGTTATTTGATTTAGTACCTGTATTTGTCACTAGCTCCATGAGGGCAGGAATAATTTAACATTGTATCCCCAGTACCTCTCAGTGACTGATACATTAGCAAGGGCTCAATAAATAGTTGAGTGAATGCATAAACTTCATTTGATTGGACTGTGTGATCATGTAGATTAAAAACCTCACAAAGAACAGAGACCTTCAGTGTCAACCTGTGAGCCTTAGAGTCGGTTTTCTTTAGCACCAATTTAATCCCTCAAGAGGAGAAGTGAGGAACGAAGACTGAAATTTAGCCCAAGTTCGTAATTCTATTGATTCTATAGATTGGATAATTAAAGCTGAATTTTCACAAACAATCATGGAACACTACATCAAAAATTAATGAGGTACTGTATGGTGACAGACATAACATAATTCTTTTAAAAAAGCCGAATTGTTAGGTATCACTTTGGGCAAGTCATGTTTTACTCAAGCCCTGAGTTTCCCCATATGAATCATGACATTCTGGCATTTTCCAATGATTTAAACCAGTGTGTCACCGTTGAGAGTTCCTTACAGAATCACATGGGGAATTTTAAAAAAACTATTCATAACAGCCCCATCAGGATCTTTGGGAAGGAGGTTTGTGGCCTACATATTCTGAAACAATCCTCCATCTAGTCCAGTACGTTCTGTTGAGGCATTTGGAAACTTCCAGCAATCTTCTGCTTCAGAAAATCACCCAGATCTGTCAGAGATTTCAACATTGAAGTTGCAAACACGTTAGCTCTAGCCACTTTCTTGTTCCTCTTTTTGGATTAATTTATCCATTTCAAATCATTATTAACTTCCAATTAACTCAATTCAATAATAATTGATTTAAAAAACGAAATCAATTAACATGTATCAACCTGGAAGGACTTCCTGAAGGAGATGACATTCCAAACAGATTTCTCTTTTATGCACAAAGGATGGAGGGAAGATTGGGGGAGAATGGAACAACATTAGCAAAGACCCATAGGAAACAGGGATCATGGATTATAGAAGAGGAAGAGAGCTGAAGTCAGAAGGGTTGATGGAACCAAAATGTGCAAGCTTTGTAGGCAGGCCATGCTAGGAAGTTGTGAGTGTATTCTGAGGACAGTAGACTAATGTGATATGAATTGTGTTATAGAGCATCTTTCTGACTATTTTTTAGGGGAAATTGTAGGGGGAACCTGCAGGTGGGCATACCAGAGAGGAGGCTGGTGGGATGGTCTAGTCAGGGCAGGGAGAACAAGGGGATAGAAAGCATGTAGAAGTGATACCCTGATGTCTGACTTGGGCAACTGACTGGATGAGCACGTGGCAGGGTCACGGAGGTGTGTGGGGGAGGGACTAAACGCAGAGAGAATTGGGTTAGCTGAGATTAACGAACAGGTAACTGGAGACTTGTAAACCCCGCCTCCCAACTTCTCCAGGATTTGAGCGCCTTTTCTAAAACTTTAGGACTACCTCCGGGGCCTCCAGGGGACGCTGTAGCCCCCATGGTCTCTCTAGGCTCGCCCCTGCCGGCTCGCTGGCGGAGGCAGCTGCCGCAAGGCAGACGACATGCGCGTGCGCTCTCTGGCCGGCAGGGGGCGCGCGTGCGCAGTCGGGGCCGGGGGCGCGCGCAGGCCGGCGCCGGAAGTGTGCGGTTGCCATGTAATATCCTGGCCGCGCGGGCGCGCGAGGGGCTGAGGCGGCGCCGGCGCGGGCGCGGAGCTGGCGAGAGGGCGGTGGAGGCGGCGCCGACGGGGCCCGCTGAGGCGCGCGGGGTGTCGGCGGCGCCCGGGAGCCTGTCGCGTGCGCGGTCCCTCCGGTTCGCTGGGTCCGGGCGGGAGCCCGCACGGTGGCAGGCAGTATGTCGGTGGCGGGGCTGAAGAAGCAGTTCTACAAGGCGAGCCAGGTGAGCGGAGGCCGAGGCGGGGGGAGCGAGCCCCGGGACCCAGGCTGCCCGGAGTCGGGGACCCGGCCAGGCCCGACCGTGGCTCGGGAGGGGGCTGCGGGCACCGAGCGGGCGGCGTTGGCGCGTGCTCCCCGCTGGGTGGGGGGAGCCCAGGCGGGACGGGGGCTGCCCCCGAAGTGGCCCCGGCCCTCCCCGCCATGTGGGCTCCGGTCTCCCCGAGAAGGGTGGGCAGACCCCTGAGAGGGGCAGAGATGCACGCGGAGGTTGGCCCGGGACACGGACCCCTCCCCTCCCCTCCCTGTAAAAGGGCAGGGGGTGGGGAAGGAGCCGGGGAAGAAACACTCCCGAGGCTGTCGACACGGGACTCTTGCCGGAGAGCCCAGGGGAGGGCAACTTGGCGTCTGGAGTAGTTCTTTAAAACAAACAAACGGAGACCCCTTTTGACGGACCCGGTACAAAGCTGGGAGAGGGTCGAGTGAAAAGTCCGTTTCCGCGTCCGGCCCCTCGGGCATCCAGCCCCTCTCCCCGGCGGCGAGGACCGTCACCCACGACTCACATCCCTTTCCAAAGGTATGTTTCACCTTTCCTTTTAAAACACACGCCGACGCGGTGGTAGCACAGTCCACATAGCCCTTCGTGCTTCGGGTTTTTCGTTAAATGGTTTTGGAGATAACGCTAGAGCTGGAATTCACCTCGGGTCGCTCTCTGTTGTGGAGGGACGTCTTGGGCACTGTGGGGTGATGAGCGGCATCCCTGGCCCCACCCACTCGATCCCAGGAGCACCCCCCCCCCATCCCGACACCACAGATATCTCCCTGTACTACCAAATGTCCCTGGGGGAACTCCCCTTCTCCCCTTACCCAGAGCTACTGCGCCAGAGCATACCCCCGGAGTTTCTTTGACCTTTATAATGGGTTGGTGGTATTCCAGTCATCTACTGGGGACTGGTTGGTTAAATTTTAACCAGTCATCTGTTGATGGATGTGTAGATTGTTTCCAGTCGGTTTCTGCCGCAAACGATACTGTAGTGAATAGCTATTGAATATCTTTGCTCACAGGTGGGATTGGATTTACATGTTGAATTCCCAGAAGGGGGATGCTGAATCCAAGAGTATAGTGTTTTATGTGTGACGGATAAGTATAGGTTTTTTGGGGATGTCCAGGCCCCATTGCTTGTGAATCTGGTGAAAGCTGTGGATCCACTCTCCAGAAAACTGGGCAATGGGGGAATTCAGTTTACAGTTTCGGATCCACGAAGTCCCAGATTCCTTGAATCCTGTTGGTTCCTGCATCCCAGATTAAGAACCTTAGGTATGGAGTCTGTGTGGATAGACTCCTCGGAGGAATGAGCGGCCATCTTAGGGATGGTGTGGTCCCTGCTGGCAAACTGGGCTTTTCCCACAATTTGGAGAAGTTCAGTGGGAGGGAAGAGAAATGAGTCCACAGTAACACAGCTGGTACCTTTTGCCCCTTGATGGAAGAAGTCCTGACCCCACCCTACTGTTTTATCTAGGGCAAACCCCAGATGATGGCTAACCCCTGGTGGAAGAGAAACTTAATCCAGAGGGGTTCTAGGATTATTGCTGAGAGTACAGCCCTTTGCCCCAGCAGGATAGAATTAAAGGGACCTGGCCCTGGGTTAAACCTTGTCCGACAGGCACCAGATCCCCAGGGCTTGACCAGAGCACCTGGGGATGGTGCTTACTGTCTTGGACCTTGATGACCTTGATGTAGTCCCTCCTGCCGGAGAAGCCCTCTCCTCCCAACCCCCAGCTCTCAAGGCCCATGCTGGAGGTCCATACCCCATACTGTCCCAAGCAGACACACTCTGCTAGAGGCACTAGCTAGGCCGCTCTGGCTGGCCACCAGAGCTTTTGGTCTCAGGGGGAAGCAGGGTGTCCTGCATTCAGATTTGTGAGAAATACATTGAAACCTGGAAAGCACTGTGCAGTGTAAGCTGCTGGTTCAGATCGATTTGTGATCTCGCCATTCTGAGGCCCATCCCCAAAGAGCTGCTGCGATGGCCACATCCTACTTTGGGAGCGGCTGTCTTGGCCTCCTGATCAATCCTCTGCTGAGTTGTGCTCTCAAGAATCATGCTGGCTGTGCTCCATGCTCTTCTGCAATTGTTTCCACAGGCCCCCAGCATCTCTGCTGTTTATCCAGACGTGTCCATCTCCTTGTGTGTTTCTTTTCTTGTCCTCAGAGTAGGGTCGGCTGTTGAGAGTATGAGGCAGTAATTAATGTCTCTTGAATTCTCACCATATGAACAGGCAGTATGCTTTCAGCCACTGGTCTCATTTATCTGGCACAAGGGTAAATGCACTCCCCTTTTTACACAAAGCCATGTAGGGATATTTATATCTTCCTGTAGGACAGTGGTTCTAAACCAGGGCCAGTTCTACTCTCTAGGAGACATTGGCAATATCTGGAGATATTTTTGGTTGTCGCAACCTGAGTTCCTATTAGTATCTAGTGGGTGGAGGCTAGGGATGCCACTCAACACCCTATAATGCACAGGCAGCCCCCACAACCAAGAATTATCTGGGCCCAGAAGCCAGTAGTGCTGAGGTTGAGAAACCCTGCCCTAAGATTTGTGAGAAGTGAGAATAATTATACCAAAACAAAAAACAGAACAAAAAATCTCTCCTGGGCCATTCTTGTGATAGCCGCCTGCTTTTCTTTGTTTCTTTGTACATAGATAGACATGTACATAAAACTCAGCATCCAGATCCCAAGTTGTTAGAACCCCAGGGTATCTTTTGGCATCTGGTATTTTTAAGAAGGTATAAGCTTGCATCTGTACTTTTCAGCTGGGGTGACTAACCCTTCTTTCCCCCCCCCCCCGCCCCGCCCCCGCCCCATGTGCCCTTTCAGGAACATTTGGCAATGTCTGAGATGGTTTTTGATTGTCACCGCTTGGGGAGAGGGCGGCTACTGGCATTGAGTGGGTAGAGGCTAGGGATGGTTGCTAAACATCCTATAATACACAGGACAGCCTTCCCCACAACAAAGAATTATCCGGCCCCACATGTCAGTGCACCGAGGTTGAGAATGCTTTGAAACAGGTTCTTGATTTCAGAGGCTTGTAACAGTGTTATTTCTAAATTGAGAAAAAGAAGTCAGGTGGATGTGGGAGAGAGTGGGGCATGGAGAGGCTTGATTCCTAGCAATTGAGGCTGTGATATTAATTAAAAGTTTCTGATCTCACTGATGATACTGGTAACAAACCAATTATTAGTATCTGGCAGCATCCTGGCAAATTCCATGCTAGTTCATCTCTGGTGCAAGCGTTCAGGTCTTGTATAAGGTCAGTTTGGGCTTGTGTGAGAAGTTTGTGAGCTTTTACTTGTTCAGAACTGGTTGCTACTGGGCTGTGGCCTGCTGGGCTGAGGCCTGCTGAAGAATCTGTAGAGGAAAGCGCTGGAAGGAAAAGACGTCTGTCCGGGGCCTCAATCCTACCGCCCACCTGGTACTTCTGCGCATCTAGAACTGGGGGAGATGCTTTAATCTGAGTATTTCTGGAGGACTAAGGAGGGTCAGGGGACCCCACTAGTGAGATCCAAACTCAGAAGTTCATTTCTCATTGTGGTATGATGTTAATTTCCAGGCCTAAGCTGCTCACTGGTTTCTGATAATTCTTGTGGCCAGGCCAGGTTTGAGAGTGTAACTAGGGATAGATCTGGCAGCTGCCTGGAATGCTGGCTTAACTTTTTTTCTTTCTTTTCTTTTTTCTTTTTTTCTTTTGGCTTGAAAGGAGGGAGAGAGTTTGAACTGAAAGATTGGTTCCGTCAGAGCTAGGAGGAAAATTTATGACTGCCATATCACATAGCTTTGAAGTTCGTTGGATGCTTGCTAGGCTCTGGGTTTGTGCCTAGGAGGAAAGATTAGACTTCCTTTGAGAGGCATGGGGTGGGGAGTGGGCTGGGGCACCCAGGACCCCAACCTGTTAGAGTAAGTAATATCTGGGGGACGTGGCTGGTATTTGGAACGTCAGCAGGTACTACCTGCTCTGACCTATTTTTAAAACCTTATTGTGTGGAATCGGGCTTTTGATTTCCCAAGAAAGGGTTTGGCCTGTTAAGTAATAAATGTGGAATAGTCTTAGATACAAGAGTCTGGAACTTGTAGCTCCTTCACCTGAGTGGAATAAAAGCATGGAACCTGTGTGCTGAGAACAACAGGTGACAGGCAAAATTGGGTCCCTGCCCCAGGCCCTTGAGCTCAACTGCTGCAGGCTAACTTCCTGAAGACCTTCTGCCTTGGGCAGCAGACATGGGAATGGCTTTGGCTGTTGGCGATATCCATGTGTGATGGGAACTGGATTAAGTCCAACTTTGCCGGAAGCAACTCTGCTGACTCCCTCTGTAAGAAGACCCTTGAACTGGCAGTGTCCCTGTGGGACCCTGGACAGAGATGTTCCCATCCTGTTCCATCGGTAGACAGGCCAGGCTGCTCTTCCCAGCTCAGCTTTGGGTCACCAGCCTGGTGTTTTAGGCTGGACCGTGGAGCTACAGAACAAGTGTGAGACTGCTCTCCCCCAAAGGATCCTGGGACCTCCTGGAACCCCACCACTTCCCAGGCCTGTCTGTAAAACTGGGTTCGCCCGACCGCCTTCACAGGACCCACTGTTCACAGTCATGGAGGCACTCTGTAACCAAGCAGAATCCTATATTCTTGTTGTTAACAAACCAGGACCAAGAGGGCATCATACTCGGATTCTGCTACCCGTGCCTGCCAAACATGAGGTGGCAAGTTCCCCTCTGACTCAGAACCCTGTGTTTATTAAAGACCTGTTAGCGTGCCTGGGTGCACTTCTCCCTACTTATCTGGCACAGTGTGAAGGCAGAGCCATAGGATACTTAATTATAGTCCACGTGCCACTGAATAATGGCCTGTGAGGTTAAGGATTTCCTAGTGTCTCTCTGTTCGGTTTCAAAAATTGGGGGCTGTCGCATTCCTGAGACCCCAGAACTTAGCGAGTGAACCAGGGATACAGT